TTGCTCCGCCGCAGCGTTCAAGCTCAAACTCTCTCTTCGCTCCGCCGGCAGCGAGAGGCTCCGGGAGCTGGGGAACCGCCGGTGTCGGAGCAAGCGAGGTGCAAAGAAAACTTCCCTTCTTCCTTACACCCCACTAGAAAAAAAAAAAAAACAAACAAAAAAAAAAAACCAGAAAAAGGCTGTTTTCTTCCTCCCCGCTCCTTGCAGCAGCTCGGGGCTGGTGCAACACCCAGCCTGGTTGCTCACCCCCGGGGCTGGCGTTACCGGGAGCCGGTGGTGGCGATGGCTTTGGCAGCCGGCGAGCGGTGACAGAGCGAGGGGGCCGGGGGGGCTCGGAGGCAGCGCAGCCCCTCGCTGCCGCCCTTTGATGTGGCCACGGTTCTTATCGGTGGCAGGAACCACCGTCCCTCCCCACGGCTGCCTCTCCGGGGGGGACAGCTGAGCCCCCGGGGGGGCCACCCTTCCTCAGCGCACCGGGGGCAGAACGGGGCTTGCCAGGGGTTGGCTGGACTTTGGGCTACCTGGGGGATGCTCGGGGCTACCGTCCGCGCCGGGCCCGGGGAGCACGTGCAGGGCTCCTCGCCGCAAGAGCTGCTTTTTTGCTGGTTTTCTTTCTTTCTTTTTCTATTTCTTTTTCTTCTTTTTCCTTTTTTCCCCGCTCTCTCGCAAGGGCAATTTTGAGTCAGCGGCGCCCAGCGCGCTCTTTCCACCGCTCTTTGCGTGTCGCTCCCCCGGTGCCGTGGCACTGCCCGAGCCCCGCTTCCTGCCCCCAGGACCAGGACCTGCGTGTCCTCCCGGCCCCAGCCCCTCCATTTACTCCTCATTCGTATTTTTTGCCCCCCCCGGGTTGGTGCTCAGGGGCAGAATCGCAGTCCCTGGTGCCCCTCGGTGTGTGGTGCCATCCCTGTCATGAGCTCACAGGTCTCTGCCTTGGGGCTGGTGGGAGACGCTGGTGCCCTGGGGTGGGCAGGAGCTGCCAGGGCAGGGAAAGTGACCCCCCCCAACACCACCACCCCCCCCCCTGCCAGGGGTGAATCCTGCTGGGGGGCAGCCCCACAGCCGGCTCCATCCCTCATTCCTGCTGGGATGGGGGCTCTGGGGAGCAGCCCACCCTCCCTGCCCAAACCCGGCATGGACACCTGGGGTCTCTCCTGGTATGGGGGCAGGTGGAAGCCCCCCCAGCCCCACACGGGACCCCTTGGCTGGGCACGGCTTTCCGGGGCCCTTTTGGAGAAGCCCTGGCACCCGCTTTATGAGAAACGCCAGCGCTTCGAGGAAATGGGGAGAAGGGGGGGGGTGTGAAACCAGTCTCCCCCCATCACCGGCCGCCCCCCACCCTCACCCACCGGGTACCGGCAGACGGGAAGCGGCAAAGCCCGAGGGAGGGAGGAAGAGGGGAGGAGAGAGGAAGGGGGCCGGGGGGGTGGGGGGCGGC